GCAAGATAAAAAAAAGTACCATCTTATTAATGAAAATGTATGTGTGATTGTCCCTCATATATTTCTTTTTGAAAATGATCTACCTATCAGACTAATTGATAGAGAAAGGGAGAGATAGAGGTGGGATAAAGAGAGACCATTTTGAATATCCTCACTTTTATGTAATTTCCAGTCAGCTTCAGAAATCTGTGACTGAGCCCAATAAAGTTTCCTAAATTCCGTATGTCGATTTACACAGTAATCAATCCGCCACTCACTTAGAAAATGTGTAATAGAATCTTCTTCTTTCTTATTTCCTTTAACTTTGGGATGTACAAAGCTAAGCTTAATAAATATCATATTTTTAATGATTTTATAAACGAATCTTATTTATTTATTAGTGTGTGTGTGTGTGTGTGTGTGTGTGTGTGTGTGTGTGTGTGTGTGTGTGTGTGTGTGTGTGTGCAACATATTAGCAAAAATGTACTCTGTATGTTTAAAAACAAGTGTAATGACCATTTCGTAAATAATCAATCAATTTCCTAGAAATTAACGCTCTGTGTTGTAGATGATGAAAAGAAAAATATAGTGAATGTCACAAAGTGGCATCTGTTTGTAAACATTAATCTAAGAAATTTCTTTTAATATATTACTCATAGAATTACGCCAGAATACTCACGACGTTTTTACTGTTTTTAGCACTACAAACGGAAACAGGTGGAAGAAGCTCGTTTCTGGGTAGGAAGTTGGGGTAGCTAACTCCTTTGGCAAAATGTTCTCGTTCTTCAAAAGCGACGTGCTTGGTTCTCTCCGCTTATTGACATTTTTCACGCGACAGCGTTTTTTCAAAGCATGATTACATTATATTACATATGAAACGAAAGAGAACGATAAAGAAATATTCGTGCGGCGAAGAATCCTCTCACTGCTCCGTTTTCTTTAGATTACTATTGGTTTCGTTATTATCATGACTCGGCGAAGCGTATGATCCGTTGCATTTCGGTTGCTACCATTGTGGAATCCATCCGATTCAAAGCACGTTCAGTATTTAACAAGCTGGTTTCGATTGAAAATACTTAATCATAGATCTAAAGAAACACCAAAATATCTGTTGTTGGTGTGAGCATTCAGTACTAAGAATTAACTTTTGAATTAGCTGAAGAGCAATTCAATATTTCGGCAAACTAGGACTTTCGTGCCCGCAAAAACAAAAACAAAAACGGCGTGACAAGAGGACGATTTTCGATTGACACCGCTATTATTTTAATTACCTTCACCCTTCGGCAATATTTATTGTTTAAAAAATCGATTATTAGAAATGTAATAAATCCTTAACATATGATGAAAACGAATTTATACATTTTTGTTCTCGAAAATTTACAACAAAAATATTAATCACTATTTATTATATTGTTTATTTACAAGAATAATCTTATATTTACAACTTTCTAAAAACTATTACAATTAAAATTAAGGCAATGCAATATCTATCACTTACCAATGTATAAGAAAATAAATATTAAAATATTTTTTATTCATAAATTTATAAACATTTACTAAAATATTAAAATATGTGAACCAACTATAAGGAAAGCCTTATTATTTACCATTTTATAAAGTTCGAATCGGTTGTCAATTATCACATGTTTTGACAACTAATCCAGTAAACAATATAACAAATAAATAGTGTAAATAAACAGTCTAGTAAATAAATAGTGTTCATTATTTTGTTTTCAATTCTCAAGAACAAAGAAAATGTATAAATTTATTTTCAGATGTTTAGGTTTTATTACAATACTAATCATCTCTTTTTAAAAAGCGGTAATTTGAAAGTATGGAATATTCCTTCTACCAAACAAAAGAAAAAAATTAGAAGAAAGAGAATAATTTCAAGGTAATGTTACAAACCGGTCACTTTTCGATAACGGTTTGGATTTATTCTTTCTGTTTACCACTACGTTCCAAGAAAAGAATGCATTTGAAACGTAATGATAAGGCCAAAATAGTCAACAATATTTGTCCGAATACTCATTGAATAAAGATAAGAACTCACCTCAGAATTGTACACAATATTATGAAGACTGAAAACGCATCGGCCAAAATGGCATGATAAAACCAACAACGATAAAAAAAAAACTATGTTTATCAACCTGAAATACAAGGATAATTATAAATACACAATTCAGAATTTCAGGTAACGTTCTTCAATCATACTTTTTATGCAACGAAATTAATTAATTAATTAATTTCTGTGTATGGGGACAATCTTCACTTGGAAATTGAGGGTTTAACATGTATTGTCCTTCTTTTATCGACTGTCTTAGCAAGCCAATGGCAAGATAATTTTTCATAAGACTGGTGACTGGACAGAAAATAGAGAAGATTAAATTCATTTAGTCCCTAAAAGATTCAGCTTGAAAGTAATGTTTATCACCCTTAAAGTCGTCACATTTAACTTCCTGTAAATGATCTCTATCAGTCCCGCCCAATTCCATACAGATTTAAGAAAAAAGTGAAAGAAAAATAGTGAATATGTAAAAGTACATGACACTTATTTATTTTTTAACAGGAAGAGATCAAATTTAGAGTATTAGTATTTATACAATTTGCATATTGTGAAATATACTGAGAATGAAGTGCGGTATTATGTCCTACAATAATCTGAAAATTAACATAGAATATTCACATTCTGATACATATGTTCTGTCTTTAAATTCTTCACTTCCTGTAAAGAATCTCCAAGCTGATACCCAAGCCATAATATGTGCTTTGAGAAAGATGGACGAATGATTCGATTTTTAAAACTTTTAATAATTTATATATTAAAATAGAAATGAATAAAACGTGGACACGAACTAGATTCGCTGGTTCGAGAATAAAATGCCCAGTTGTTTTGTATATAATGGAATGATCGTATGTAATACAGAGTATCTATGTTCCAACTTTTACTTTCATACAAGAAATCTCCTACACTGTTGCCGTAGTGCTGTAAAGATCATGTAAAAAAAGTAAAATAATTATATCTAGTCTGGTCTTTAAAAAAAGATTTATAGAAAATAAACGCTCGATATTTTATTATAATAGCAGTCAAGAGTTAAAAATAGTCTCACTTGTATCCACACCGACGTTTTTTCTCAATCTTCATTTATGGAGCCTGTCAGCGTCCTTCATCACACTGTAGGATCCAAATGTTTTGATTTTTAAAATTTTTGTATGCATTTATTTAGGATTTTCTTCCACTTTTCTATTTGTAGGTAAGTATGGCACGTCTTTGTAACTGATATCGCTAACTCCAGTAAGTAAAAGTTTCCAATGTTATATCTACGCTGAAGAGTATGTTTATGCGTTTACAAAATCTAGAAACCAACGAATGACAACTAGAGTCTATAAATCACATTACATTCAACCGGATTAAATTGGCTTTTTGATATAATATCACTCACACTCGACCACACACTCAATTCTCTTAGATAAGATCACATACGCATTGGTACATGCAGGCATAAATGTAAACAGGAAACAAACTAACAATGCTATAGCTGCAAACACACAAATCAGACACGTCACGTATACTATATAGGCAAACACGCAGATCATTTACATAAACATAGACGCACGTGAATTCAAACACACACACGCTATATATTTAATCACACAAGTACATTAGATCTCTTTCTTTCTTTCTCTCTCTTCCTCTCTCTCTCTCTCTCTCTCTCTCTCTCTATATATATATATATATATATATATATATATATATATAAAGAGAGAGAGAGAGAGGTATACACTGTCAACTTGGAAAATGAAATAGTTAAGCCAAATTCGTGTATTTTAAAACATCCCTTTTTCATTAATACTCTTAAGAAAGGCATCAGTTCAACTTTTCATGCGTTCTATTTTATTGCCTGGTATATGTTAAAACTATGGTTTTAACACCTGAAACAGTAAAAACTATGGTTTTAACATCTGAATACAACGGTTGTAGACAGTTGAAAACAATGCGCGATGATATATAGGGGAAACCCACTCTTTCCTCATTGTCTTAACCTTCCCAAATAATAGCAACAAATGGCTTCTGAGACCACTGACAAGTAAAGATCATTCATATCGAGGCATAAATGTAAATGTGGTTAGGTTTACTTAAAATTTAACTGTCTTAAATAAAAGGCATATGTCGGCACCAGATCACTTTATTTTCTTTAGTGTCGAACTCACAATGTCAGTTCGGTTACTTGAATATAAGTATGCGGTCGTCTTTACGGAGAACTAATGATAATTATATTACTGTTAGAAGTTAACGGGATCAGCATTCAGAAAACTGCAGATGAAGAGAATTCGAAATTACACTATTTGCTAGCGAATAAGACTGATGTTAAAGAAGTGAAATACACATCTGTTTACCGTAACTCATTGGGACTCATTAGCAGTACAGTTCCAACTTTAGGGCACAGCATCAAATAGTAATCAAACAGCAAATGTACAATAAAAGACATAAAATTTCAGAAATCCATCGAGAGCACGAGAATATATGTTATACAGGTTGGTAAGTCAGTCTGCCGATTTTGTCGTGGTGAGTGGCTTCATTGCCTACTGTTGACCTTTCCTACAATCAGCAAATAGAAATTTATTTAAGTTCAGTTTAGCACAGAATTCAAATGAAGGTATAGAGTATAGGAAATTTGTAATAGTCTTCTAATCAGGTAAAAAGTCTTCTAATCCGTTAACAGTCTTCTAATCAGGTAAAACACGAATCATTTGAAAAATAGCATTAGGAACCATGACTTTAATCGAACACCGACGACTGGCACCAGTGACAAATATACAATTTCCTCCTCTACAAAGATGTTTAGAATTGGCTGCAGTATAAGTAGGATTTCAACGATAACAATAGTAATCAAAATTTAATTTCATAAAATATATTATTTAAAAGTTTATTTATTCATTTGAATACAGATTTACAACTGTTTCAAATTTAACTGTTTCGAAATTTAAAGCAATGAATTTTCTACCTTTGGTAATACACCCTAAAGAAGATAGATAGATAGATAGATAGATAGATAGATAGATAGATAGATAGATCGATCGATCATTCCAATGAAACTAGAATGTACAATCATGAGTAGTTTCGCATGCTAGGAGATCCAAGACTGCAGCGTTGATTCCAACTTAACATTCTTAAGTACTTGATTTAAGGAGGTTATTACACCTTACATAAGATTTTAGCCTAAAACATATTTTAAATTTGAAAATTTTTCAAATTTAAAATATGTTTTAGGCTAAAGTCTTATGCAAAGGTGTAATAACCTCCTTAAATTAATTTGATATCAAGAGAATCAAGATTTGTTTCTGAGATATTAATTCTCCTTTTTTGTATCTTTACTATGTTGTTTAAGTCAGAGTTTGAAGCTTAAAATACTTATATGTTAGTAGCGAATAAAGCAAATGGAGTGTACCCCTCATCAAGAACAAAGAGCTGAGGAAAGATGATCTAACTCTACGAAAATAGGAATAAACGATCACACGAGATCTGATAGAGACACAACCTACAAAACAAAAGGTTAAAACCATACGTTGTAATTTTCTCATGCTTAAGTCTTCCATTTAAAGATTCCATCACAAATTATGAAGTCGTTATCTAAGTCAACATATATATGGGGTAGAAGGGGACAGTAAATGAAACAAAAGATAAAAGAGGTAATTGCCAATAAAAAATGAAATGAAATTATATATATATATATATATATATATATATATATATGGCAATAAAAATGAAATGAAATTATATATATATATATATATATATATATATATATATATATATATATATATATATTCTGTCATTTCTGATAGCAATTAAAACATTGTATTACATAGGCGATATTTTCACACCTGAAAATAGAAAAGAAAACATAATTCAGATCAAACGTGCTGTCACACGCCTCATGCAACATGAGTACTAAATAATAAATATTGAAAAGAAATGTGGAAATATTTATTTATAAACGTTGTCAACAAGTCATATGTTCTCGTACATATTCTCGTTAAGTCTCTTTTTCACAGTTGTCGACACACACAACAGGATTCTTATCTTTCGTCATTTTAATAGACACGATTTAATTAATCTTGACTTGTTAGTTTGATTAGAAAATGTATTCATTCTTATTTCTCTGTTTCTTGTCTCTTTACGACGAATGTATATAAAGAGATGCAAATATTTGGAACTGAATGTTGGGTTTCAAACGCAGTAATTTTCTCTGACAGCATGCGATCCTATTCATTATACATACATCAATATAAAAAAAAGATTCCCCAATATCGACGAATTATTCGAACTAAAATAATTATCATTGATGGTTTTCGTCAGTATAATTTATTTGTTCTTTGGCCTTCCCAATTTTGTCTTCAATTCTGACAGGAATCATTATCATCATTTTACCATTTGTTCTGACTTACTGATTAGACCACGAAAGTCCATCAGTAAACCAAATTCAAAAGAATTCCCATGGATAAAGAATGAGAATTCAAATTTCGTCTGTAGATACATCTTTATTTATGATCCCCTATATATTATGTCGTAGAATGTAGAATCAACTTAAGCATTGCTATGAAAAGGTAACCTGAATATGAACAAAAAAAATCTGATCATAAATAAATAATGACAATGCTTCATCTAAGATCTTCAGGCAGCATAAAAGTATTAAGTATCAAGTGTTTTGAAATGAAGAATTATCATTATTTTAAGGATTGTTTTATTCGTATCTTGACCAATTTGTTGCTCTTTATTAAAACACTTTTGATTTCGTTACGAACCGATGGCCGCAACACAAAATATAAAGATAAAAATGGTAAAAAACATGACTTGTTGCCAAGGGTATGGCCAGGGTTTCCACTCTGTTAGTGATAGGTTCTCTCACAGGGTCAAATATATGGATAAGGGAAAATAACCAAGAGTAACGAAAGACAAACACCGGAATAAAAATTTAATAAGATTTAATTATATAACAGAACAACATAGAAAACGTTTTTGCGTGGAAAGATGGGCACTGTGTATGTGCAATTAAAAGAAACACTTAGCTTTTGTCCATTGTCTGAAATAAAACAAGTTTTCACTTTTCACTCTGATTTTTTATATTTCTCTTTTTTTTCTTTTTTTTTTCTTTTCAGTTCAGTCCTTTTGTCTCGTGCATGAATATCTTTTATAATCTGTTTCCCTTCCTTTGGTGTTGCAAGTTTTGATCCCAAGTGATGGTCGCTTAATTTTCAACAATATAAAATTCCTCTTTTAGGAAAACTCGGCATTGTGTTGATCGTTGCTTTCTTCAATTCAATAAATGGATGAATAACACATGCATTAGTCTTAGGTAATTAAAACGTTCAGTAATTCGCCATTGCATTTGGTTTAAGACTATTTGGTCTGTCAAAAAGTCCATATACGTCATAGTGTGTGTTAGGACTAGGCTTCATTATACAATCCCATTGTTTGACGATAACAAAGGAAAGGGTGTTGATTGATCAAGCTCCGCTGTCCAATAGATTTTCTATTTTTCCTGCCCAAGTTTTCATAGCAGATCAAGTAAGATTCTGCACGTGTGTGAGATACTGTTTCAGATCTCACCCGACTCTGTTTCTAGGGTCAATGGTTTATCTGCCCAATTGTTCATCCGACTGCTGACTTCAACATGTTAATAAAGAATGAGTAAATGTCAAATGAGTGTAAAGTGTATATGCAGGACCTTTACAGTTGATATATATTTTAGATGCTACTCGTAACTTGTACCACAGAGGATCATGCTATATCTTTTAGCAACATATAAACCAATATTAGATACAAAAGTTTTCATTCAAAATAGCTTTTAGTCCTAATTCTACTCCTACCGCTTTTACTTGGACAGATGTTGTACTGTTTTGCGAAGATTAGGGAAGAAAAAGGAGTATATTGTTTCCTTTATTTCAGATATTTTACTCATATTTTTCATGTTTTTATTTTACTAGTATTTTCATATTTTCTTTATTTTACTGGTATTTTCATATCGTTGGATATGAAAAACAAAGTCTTTAGATGATAAAATCATGCATCGGATTGCTAAGGCTATTGGAGCTTTCGGCAAACTGCGCCATCGCTTGTGGGATGAGCGGGGTATTCGACTGGATACGAAAATTTGGGTTTACAGAGCTGTTGTCCTTGCCATCCTTTTGTACGGTCGTGGACTCCATACAAGTATCATATAGGCCAGCTGGATATTTTCCATAAGAGCTGTCTGCGTGCCATCTATGGAGTTAGCCTTCAAGATAGGATATCTAACCCAGACCTGTATAACAGGTGAAATATTGGAGGAATCGAGACTTTCCATATACAGTCTCAGTTACGGTGGACTGGCCATATCTTGAGAATGTCTGATGACAGGATACCGAAGATCCTAATGTACAGCCAGTTAGATCAGGGCTACAGGAATGTAGGACGCCCATGACTTAGATACAAAGACAAGCTGAAGTGCAATAGTCATCTGTCAATATACCTCATAACACCCTCGGGCGCTTAGCCCTGGAGCAGGGAGAGTGTAGATCAACGTGGTTTAGTGAACTCAACATTTTTCAATCTGCTAGTCTGAATCGTATTCAAGAAGCGAGAGCAAGATCTAAAAGATCAACCAGTGATCTCATCCGACAATCCTTACTCTTGCTCCATATGAAGCCTCCTTTGTAAATCACTAGCGGGTCTTAAGTGACACTTAAGATTATCGCACAAAATTCATAACTGAATCAATTGGTTAAATTGTCAGATCCTCATACGTCGAAACCAGAGAGAGAGAGACAAACATGTCTGTGTGTGCTTAATCCATGATAAGGATTCATCATGCACTGCGTATGAAAATATATATTTGGTGATGTATATAACTAATATTATATATGTGTGTGGGTGCATAGTAATTAACTAAGATGCATAATACATCCTATATAGAGTACAGTGTGTGTGTGTGTGTGTGTGTGTGTGTGTGTGTGTGTGTGTGTGTGTCCAAACAAGTCCTCCACTCCAACTGGTCCGATTTCAATGATTCATACCTAATTAAAAACCCCTAAAAAACTTAGGCGCAGTGAATGGTTTTCGTTGAGCTCAGATTCAGGGTTGCCAGATTATGCGAGGTTAAAATTATATATTAATATATTATACTAGCCATTATCGTTGCTTTAATAGTTCAAGGGGCGTAACTTTTATTTTCTTTTTGTATCCAAAATTTAAGCTAGCTTAAAAGCAACCGTATCCGGCGGCATTTAAACTAGCTCCTATGCTCACAGTAGCTATGGAGGAGTAAATGCGATAGGCATCAATAAACTACAAAAGAACTCAAAATTGATCGCTGCATTTAAGTATTGAATTAATGTTTAAGCTTACCTTTTCAAAGTTCAATGAAGATTCTTCTGCTGCCACTTAATTTAAAGACAATTTGATGTACGTAGATCCTTATATTCCGCACAAACAATTATTTTTATTTCATGGGTGACAGAAAAGGGGTCAATTTATAAGATAAAATTTAGTGTAAAGATGGGAAAATAGAAATTGCATTCAACATTTGAAAAGTTAGAAAAACATAATAGCTAATTAAGTAAGACCTATATTATGGACTCTATATGAATAAATGCAAAATTGGAGCATAATTATCCAACGAATTCTGAGGTTTAAAGCCCCAATTCTACTTTAGAGTAATTTACTCGACCCCACCCAACGAATTCTGAGATTAAATACCCCAGCTCTACTTTATAGTAATTCCCCGAGAACCTGAGACAGTCAGTTACGCCGGCCTCGGTTCGAGCACCGACCCCTCTCTCTGGTGCAATGAGACGGCGTGGCCTTGGACAGCTGTTCCCAAGGACTAGGCACTTTTCAGTATAATTTTCATCGGTTGCAATTCTGTCATTCGACGGAGCCGCACCTGAGCGCACTCTGCCCAAAGACAAAGAGGCAACTGAGCGATGATAAATAAACGTGTTAGAAACTTCTTTAGAGTAATTTGGTATTTAATCGACACCCAACCCCCACCTTCCACGAAGTCGCGTTGTGACACAAGGTTGGTTTAATGTGAGGAGATCGAGCGCGTAGACCCAGGCTAGGAAAAAATTGCCCGATCCCCAACAACCGTCGTTTGCGTTGGCCTCGGTGCGAGCACCGATCCCTCTGGTGCAATGAGAGGGCGCGGCCTCGGGTTGCTGTTCCCCAGGGCTGGGCACCTATAAGTATAATTTGCGATTCTGTCCTTTGACGGAGCCGCCCTGAGCGCACTCTGCCCAAAGACAGAGACGCAACTGAAAGATGATAAAGTAATTTACCCACTATATTTACTCTCTTTCCCCATTAAGACAAGTAGCATATAGCAGAAAGTTGCAGAGATTAATTCATTAACTGGCATAGATCACTTCCCTATCAAACAGCTATTACTATGAGGTTTTGTCAAGATATTTGTGATGGGACAGCGCGCAGGGAAAAATAGATTCTTAATTTTTATGAAGCAAAGTATAAGGACGAAATGAAGACAAAAAAGAACCTCAGTCAAAATTCGAACACAGTTCGCTGATTTGTTTTTCATGATCATAACATTTACGTCGCTTCACAACTCCCATAAATTTATTATTTACCGTCATTGAATGCATTAAGTAATTTATGTCATAAGATCGAGACTGTTATCTATTTCAAATAATTTACAATAAAAATTTTTCATTTTTATTTAGGCTCACAAAAAAGAAAATAAAGCCATATAGCTTAGAAGATTGTGTAGCGCCAATCCTCCAATTTTCGACTTCATGAATCAGTTTTCAAAATTTAATTCTGCTAATATCTACTACTCGTTTTCGTGGGTAAAATCAATACCGTTCTGCTGATTTATCCATCGGGTAAGCTTAAAAATATTCAATAGCAATCTGCCCAAAACTGTTCAAGAAATTGTAACACAAGGTTTGTAAAAGAATTCATTGTATTCTTTTGAATGAAGACTAATTTTCTAATATGTTATCATGAAAGTCGTTGTTCCAGTCTTGTTTTTTTTAATTTTCATCTTCTTTCCTGACTTTTAGCTCAAAACCACTGTACTGCTATTTGTATGTATATTAAATAGATAGATAGATAGATAGATAGATAGATAGATAGATAGACTTGTACAAACAACAATAATGGTGGAATTTATTTTTAAATATGTGAATGTTTATAAAATCAGTATTATATGACATACTAACTTGTGAGAGCATCCAAGAATTTGTACCGTAGTATCAAGTTTGTCATCTTATTTATTAGTGTAATGAGTTAAATTTTTACTGGCTACCCCATTACTGTAGAAGATAGATAGATAGATAGATAGATAGATAGATAGATAGATAGATAGATAGATAGTATTTGTATAGTACACAATTACATTTCAGAATTAACTTCTGACATATGATTTCAAAGTACACGCATTTGACCTAAACACAAATCCCAGGGCCGAAATTTGTTAGGAGGCTGTTCAAGCCTCTTTTATCCTTAATTTTAATATATCGTTTTGCTGTTACATTTTTCCAATCCCTTCATTGACCAATTCGTACGTAACTGATTAGGAATACCCTTTTCCAAGATTCTCACACCACGTTCTACCAGTGATGCAGCCAAGGGGAAGCGTGTTTGTGAGAAGGGGAACGAGAAAAGCAATTAGGTCGGCACTTTATATACGTCTATTTGCATCGTCCCCAACAATGTCAAATGTCAGGCGGCAGATGGCTAAATTATATATATATATATATATATATATATATATATATATATATATATATATATATATATATATATATATAATTGGACGTTTGTCTCGATTGGCTACTGCAGACATTCTTGGCTAAGACTAAACAGATTATGAAAGATGCTCTTTTACAGATGCGGACTATATACAAACGTATCAGTAGATACTCTCCACTTTATCTCAGGTAACATAAAAAAGTACTTTTATGCAGACTATATATTTACTGTATTTACGGTTTATCAACTATTTCCAGATTATTTAAAGCCATAAAAATTTTAAGAGTGTAAGTATATTAGAAGATAATAATAATTTATTGATACATGTCCTACTAATTAATCGATATCTCGGGGTAGGAGAGGTGGATTCATACCTTTCCCAGGTGTATTTGCGCGTGTCAATATAACGAACACGAATGGAGTCAGCTCTCCGATTTCCACTTTTGAGACCTTATCCATTACGCCACCCGCATATCCAGGTATAAAGCACCTGTTATTCCCAAGCGGTCACCCATATAGTTACTGACTAAATTCGACGTTGATTAACTTCGGTGATCGTACGAGAACTGTTATATTAACTGTAAGTAACATAAACGTTCATATGCAATTAAACGTTACGAAAGTTTTAATATATGAATAAAATGACGCATATATTATGTCAAATAATGATACAAATAAACATTCAAATGAATTAATAAAATTTGCTTGCCAATGAACATATTTTATTAAATTTACTTTTAACCTTAATTATATATATATATACTGGTGTATGCGTATTTGTATATTTACACACAAGCAGGCACGCAAACACAACGACATATATAAATATATAGAAAAATAGATAAATAGATAGATATATAAATGTGTGTGTATGTGTATGTCTGTTTATGTGCACGTGTGTATGTGTGTGCGCGCCTGTGTGTATTGACTTCCCTGTTAATCATATATATTACGTCAAATCTATAAATTTATTTTGATAAATGTTTAACCCTTCGATAGGAAGACATCACGGAAAATGCTGATATAATTCCTTCAAAAACTCGATTACCATTTTTACTATAAACTTCAAAGAGATGTTTGAAGATATGAATGCATCCTGATTCGTCTCATTTAAAAAAAATAAGACATAAATGAGATTTTTTTTTATTTTTCAAAATGTATATGCCTTAGTACATTGCAGATGCGTGTGTGTGTTTAGGTTAATTGATGTTTACGCTTACAAGTTGCTTTGTATGCATTTCTAAAAAATCAATAAGCTGGTTACTGGACTCATTGCTTCTCAGCTGAACGTACACATTAAAAAAAATCTTTAGGGCTTTCGACGCAATTTCTTGTCATATTTACAACGCCGTCCCCTCTGTCTAACGTAGAGTGAGAATATAAAACTACTTCTTAGAGAAATAGATATTCATAGTTTTGAAACTATATAAAACACAATGTGTGTGTGTGTGTGTGCGTGAGAGCGCATGTACGAAGTGTAGCCTAACACAGGAATGTAAGCGTGATACATTCAGTAAAGACCGCCCTTGAGGTTTTTGGTATCGACAAGAGCACAGAAGTAATAAACGAAATATACAACAGTGGCAACATACACTAAATTTATCTTCGTGACATTACCTAAGAAACCAGGTGCAAATGACTAGGAGCTCCATACGTCTATAAGTTTAATAAACCACATAACCAAACTAATAATGAGTAATAGACAGCGAAGCAGAATTAGGCCAGAAATAGGACAAGAACGGTGCGGCTTTGTCAAGGAAACTGAAATAGGAAATGCGATATTCGTTATCGGAATGATATGCAGAAGGAAGTGTATTTATGTTTTATAGATTACGCAAACAAAATCATTTAACAAGGTACAACACAAGGATCTATTTGAACTGCTAGGAAAACTTAAACTTGGGAACAGCTGTCCAAGGCCACGCCGTCTCATTGCACCAGAGTCTACATACAAATATAAAATGAATTGAGTAGCTACTCAAAAATAAAAAGCTACTCAAAAGAAGAAAGGGGCATAAGATAAAGATGTATCTTCTCCCCGGATTTATTCAACCACTACTGCGAAGCTATCCTAATGTAGCTACTAACTCTACCAGTATGTATGCGTAATCTTAACAGTGCTGATAACAAATATGGCGCCAGTTTGTTTACATTGCGCAGATCAGTACAAAAATTTCAGTGATTGCGCAGGTCAGTGTTGCCAACATTGTGTGAAAATTCTGTGTGAATTGATTGGACGGTTTTTAAAATATTAGAAAGACGTTATCTCGATAATAATTTGGCACGCAGTGTACATATATGTATGTGTCTATATGTGTCTATGTGTGTGTTAGGAAGAGACTTGTTAAGGAGAGAGGATGCATGCATGTGAATGTAAGAGTGCGTAAATATTCAGATAAGATCAGGAGTGAAAGATTTTATCATACATTGTAAGTTTTCCAATCCAGCTTAAGTTCGACCCTTAACCTCTCACATTTAAAGTATATTCTTTACTAACTACGAGAACGGAATACAATTGACAGTAGCTATGTTACAAGATAGATAGATAGATAGATAGATAGATAGATAGATAGATAGATAGATAGATAGATATTTCCGAATTTACAAGTAAACGTTTGTATTAACTGATGAATACTTAGGAATAGTATGCTGTCAATATATCACGTTTAAAAGCCACATAGATTTGTCGGTGTGATCGAAAAGTGAATATCAGTGAACATCAATAGAATTAAGTAATCTATCTTTTTATCCAAACTCACCCAAAACCTCATATATATATATATATATATATATATATATATATATATATATATAATCTAATTCACACTCAGAACTTCAGGGTATAATAATGTGTATAATTGTTTACATAATTAAAATGCGATTTAGTTAACCTAGCAGATATTTTTATAAAAACAGGACAAAATTCTTAAATATTTGTGTTTTTATAGTCTTTAATCAAATACATTACTTTTTAAAAACATATCATAGACTTTATACACATGAGCATACATTTCACCGAGTCTGTGATATCCTCGAAAAGTACCAAAAACTTATGCTTTCGATAAATCTCGTTAATTCGGAAATACATTAGTAATAATTTAATTTTAAAAAAATGAACCTACAGTACTATCTCAGACTACATAAAAATGCCATTGTTTCGCTTAATTTTGAATCATTTATTAAAAAGTGACAAATTGAAATTTGGGAACATTTGCTCAATTTGTCTGCGAAGGTTTCACTGAATTACGGTACGTTATAAAATGACATAAAACATTATTTACTTATTTTTTCTATTTCCGTAGACTTTATTAAATCAAATTTAATACTAGTTCTTTAAAATAGTTTTGTTTGTATCTAGCGTGATTTTGTGATATGATTTATCTTGTAAGTAAACGTACGCACACACATACACGAACACATAGATATAAAGAGAAAAGAGACATAAAGAAGAGGAGGGAAAAGAAAGACAGACCTACAAAGACAGAATAATGCAATATTCGATATGATCTCTTTATTGATGGTTTCAAGATGTAGTCTTTATTCTCCCAAGAATCTGATGGACAAATATTGAGGCTTATTGATTTTCAAGACAAACAACAAGAAAAATGAATGTGAAACGCGGATCTCTGACACCCAAAATAGACAAAAGCAAGATCAGTAAAAATAGAAACGACATGCTTAGAAAAACAAAAACAGTTAATCTTAACTAATCCGGGAGTACTGAATTCAAATTTGTGCTTGTATTTATCCTTCATCTGTTTGTTTTTGTTTTTGTTTTTTTTTAATATTGAATAATGTTTGAAATATTATTGATTTCAGAAATATATTTGAAGTGAGGTTAAGAATTAGCTTTAAGATTTTTAAAATATCCATCATTGTGATATTCCGAAGCTTTGTCTCGAATCCATGATTACATCTCTTAAAGATCACAATGTATGTCCAGAGCATATCGATAACAAAACTACTAGATAAGCCGAGCTAAATTTAGCACACGCGCGGTACTTTACCTTATCGGTGCTATAGGTATACTGAGATCGTGCTAAAAGGAAATCACTTGACCGAAATCGACTGAAGATACCGAAAGGTTGAAACCAAGGTAGCGGAATCGGCTGATCTCCTAAGTTTTTATACTTATATATATATATATATATATATATATATATATATATATATATATATATATATATATATTAAAAAACAAATTACGGATAATCCTTCAAAACATGGAGAAAATTCCGTCAGAAATTGTCCGAAGTTCATTTCACCTCTGAAAATTCATCCCTCAATATTAAAAATAAACTTTTATTAGCGCCTATAATATTCTCTTTCTACGATTAACTTGTTAATATTTATACCCAGATTAACGGCGTCGCTGTGGATAGAATTTTCGGACTTTTATTTTCAAATTTTTATATGGACAACTTAGAAAATAAAATATTCAATAAAGTAAATAAACCTACCATTTATGACATATGATATATTGATGGCATCTTCATTCAGACTAAATCCGTTACTCACATTTTAAAACTTAAAAACCTTTTGGAAAAAAATTCCGTTTTAAAGTTCACTTTCGAACTAAATATAAAAAACAAAACAAAATCCCATTTTTAGATTCTCATTGACTATAAATTGATAATTTTACCACATCTCTAACTCTTGCCTTCTAAACTGCCAAAGATAGCTGCCAGTAACTGGATAAAATACACATTACGTTAAGCAAAATACGACCAGCACTGATCAAATTCTGCTTTATGACAATGTTCGGTCATATGTTACCAGAATGACACTGCATAAATTCAGCGATAGAAATTTTGCCACATCCAACATATTCTCCAAATTCCTCACCCACTTACTACAACTTGTTCTAGCACCTTGACAATTCCGTTTTAAAGTAGATGCAGGAACTACATTCAAAGATTTCTTGGCGTCCAAACCTTTAGTTTTATCATAAAGGCATATGTAAACATGTGACTTGATGGCAGAAATGTATACATGTTCAGGATTTCTATTTTGACTTATTTAAACACTGTTTGAATGCATTCATTTAGGACTAAAAGTTGACTCTAAAATCGTAAATTATTTTCCAAACCTGCTAATATTTATCCCTGTCTGTGAAATCATCTGTTTATCAATCAATCGATTTTAGTATTTTCATGTTTATCTCAATCTGTTAATACCTATTCTATTTTATATCAAACAACGTACCTATCAGTCTATTTTTCGATTTCAGCCAGTTCCAAATATATCTATCCCTCTAAATGTGTCAATATCACGTTATCCAAGTCAGCTCCTGCTCGTAAATAATTCACTTTACGATTTCGTTCTGCTTATCTCTCAGTTTATCTTTTATTTCAGTTAATCTCTGTACCTATCTATCTCAAGCACTTCTATACCTATCTCATCCTATGTAACTCGCTATTTCAGTATGTTGTAATTATCTATCTATCTGTCTATCTATGTAAGTGTATTAATATCTATTCCAGTTCTTTAACGTCTATCTCCTTCGGTCGTTTCATATATACGTATCTCTCTCTGTTTATATCTCTTTTTTTTTTCTTTATTTATCTAAGGTTTGGCGTGTATCATAAATGAATCTGGACAGCTTTTGAAGAAACTGCCAACATTTTCCACTAAACTTGCAGCAATGAAGGATGAACTATTCGCTGCAAGTTAATGCGTGTAACGTCGTAAATTTTCTGAAGCAGATGCTTACACGTTGGGCAAGGATGAAAGGCCAGGACGAATTTCTGGTGGTAAAATTTTCTGCAGCAACGACGACGACGACAAGAAGAAGAAGAAGAAGAAGAAGAAGAAGAAGAAGAAGAAGAAGAAGAAGAAAGAGGAGGAGGAGGAAATACCCCAAGGTAAAAATTAGTTTCATCACTTACCAAAGCAGCAAGTTTCCTACCTATTTTTATTTTTCAGCGTTTTTATTGCGTATCATTGCTGATATTTTCTAAGTTCAACTTGGTACACACCAAAGCCAAATTGAAAGGAGGAATTAAAATTAGAAAATTTTACTTCACTACTCTTCCAACTGAGGAGATCATGCTAGCCTTGAAAATCAGCGTTCGTAAAACTGTGGTTTACCTAAGCCAAACATCATACTCTGGTATTCTTAGGAAACACACAACTATCTCAGTCCTTAGAGAGATTCTGCAAAATCTTTTGAATTTGCTTATGTTCCATAAATATGTGGAAGGCTGAAGAATATATCGACCGTGTGTATAAAATGCAACAAAATGATAATAACTACAATGAACCTTAATGAACTCAATTTGTAAACTTCCAGAAAATGTTTTAATTTTATTTTCCAGCGATACAAACGCAAGTTTTGAATGTCATATTAGAGTAGAAAAACTGATAGCAAAAATGATCTGGATTTATATATCTGGTCAGATACGGACAAACAAAAAAGAACATTTTTAATTTGAACAAAAACATATATTTTTTAGAGTTTGTCTATATTTCTGAGATGATATTATGTACAGTATTTATTATCGGACTATTGTTCTCATCTTTGTCGCCATATTTGTCCACAACCATTTGATGGATGTCAGCTATCAGTTATTCCTGGTTAAGGCAGTAGAGAACTTTCAGAGGAAAATTAGCAGGAGATAACTGATAACTGACATCCATCAAACATGGCACGGAATTAGAACAGTTACCCCAGTGATCGAAATAAAGGGTTCAGTTCGAAATTCCAACCACCTGAAGAAGGCCGGAGCGTACAACGGCCGAAACGTTGTGACAAATATGGCGACAAAGATGAGGACAATAGTCCGACTAATGTAAATACTGTATATATTTTTTAATTTCAGTACATTTTCTATGTTAATATATTTGCTCATTCGACTAACAAACAAGAACGTATAGATGAATTTAATATCTCAGTGACCTTTCATTATTCTAAGAATGAGAAAACAAGAGCTTCTAGATATAAACAAAGTTTTTCACATGTCTTATATATTGATGATCTACAACTTGTACCTATACGTTCTAAAAATATACGGTGTATAATGTTATTGGCATTTTTTTCAAATGATTAAGATAGCTATTTATTAAGCTTAACATTGATTAGCTGAAACCTACAACAGTATAGTGTTAAGTGAGCATTGAACTCAGTAATCTAGCGGACTAAATATTTGCTTTGGAGTATATATATATATAAAGAGAGAGAATTAAAATTTCCTTATTACAACTGATCGTGTTTCTTTTCTAATCTTTCGTTAAATAGATTTTCTAACTTTTATTTAATTTACACTAATAGACACAGATTTATTTCTTTATTTTTGTAATATCAAAGTAAATCTTTAAATAAATTATGCAGTTTTATTAGATTTATACCTTGCGGCATAGACTTTTAGCTTCTGCTGGCTGATCATCTCATTAAATGAATTCATTATTTACATTAAATTCATACTTACAGGTGCAGGCACATAATATTATGCTAGTTATGCATTAGCATCATATATAGCTGATTTCTTGTCGGTAGAGGTCGAGTAACTGCAGTCCTATCAAACCTCCGGCACTTTCCTCAGCACTGCCAATTTCAACACTGCCATTGTCTGGGCAGTTTCAACTCTTCAACTAATCACCAATTCATCCAGTTTCACCTCAAGGATTTAGAGAGCAGTTTCAAATGCGCTAATTATATTGGACACAACCCTCACTTTCATGTTTCATAGTGTTCGCAGGTAAAGTATTAATGTTTTCCTTTTTCATACCTTATTCTGTAGGTTGATTTAACAGTCATATCTAAGATTTAACAGGGCATAGTGAAGGCAGGAGAAGCAAAGGAAAACAACAAGTTACTTACTTGACGTGTCTGAAGAAATAGACAGCAGAACGAGCACTACAAGGAGAAAAGGGGGGCATTGATGGGGAAATAGTTACTGAGAACAACAAGAGATAGGAAGTTGAGAAGTGTTATGATCGCCTATGTTCTGAAAGAACATAACACATAAACGAGCAGACAGACATCCAAACTAAAAAAAATGCTTATCCATATATACAATTGATTTATAAAAACTGCATTTTATAGCAACAATTTTACTGGGGCCATAAGCAAGAATAATATAATAGCTTAGATTAGAAAAATATCTAACACTATTCTTATTTCTATCGGTCTAGAATGAATCAGAAAAATCATTATGGTGTTTAATCTTTTAGTATTATCAGGCGTGAATTGTGAAAAACTGCGGATTCACTGGCGCACTGGCAACTTATATAATCAACCAGAAGCAGTGTTCATGTCATTTTCGGGATTAGCTTATATTAGCTCGGTCGTTTCCGTTACGTAATACACCATACACAAATTACTCTTGTCAAATGATAAAATATAATTGTAAACAACTATCAGAAATGGGAAGAAAATATGAATGCTCGAATCCTGAAAATGCACGCTCTGCTACTTCAGTCATATACACAATTTTTGTGTGTGTTGGGCAAAAATTTCGTTCAGCTAAGTATACATACAAGATATTTTCCATATTTTGATATTAACCTTATTGAAGAACTTACTTCCTGTACACTGTCTTTCAACTTGATATTTCTATCGCCCCATGACTTTTTCATTTTCCTGGGTAAAGAACTGCTTTAGCTGACTTTTGCAATCTTTCATGGGAGTTAAAATTTATCCATTAATACAGTTTTTTTGTTTGTTTGTTGTTGTTTTTTGTTTTGCTTTTTTTAATAGCAGGATGATTAGCTATTTAGTAAAGGTAATGTCTGCATGAGTGAAAATTTTCCACATATGCTCTAACGATAATTTGATGGAATATTCTATCGATTGCACCTTAACTCGGAACAGTACTTCTACGATTTAATCGTTTGATTTTCTTGAAATAACTATTAGGAGATGGCAATTCCGATCCCATCATATACACAGCATAGCTTTCTTTGGAAAGAAACCGTCTTTTGGTACACTTAGTTATAGTTCATTTCACTTACCTACAGATCATCTACAGATGTTAGATAGATAGATAGATAGATAGATAGATAGATAGATAGATAGATAGATAGATAGATAGATAGATAGATTAACGTGAAACAAAATCACAATAGTGAGAGAATTCCTACTTAAGGTTCAAATTAACAACACGTGTAAATTATCTCCGGGAACTACGGTAAGGCCAATCAAAATGCTTTTGTTTGTGGACGACGCATCTCTCGTTGCTCGCACAGATTAAACCTTTCAGCTTTACAAAAGCCAGATATATTTTCGCATTGGGGATCAACCTGAAGAAAATAGTCATCCTCTCTCAACTCGTACCTCGATAGATATGTCTTTTTGTATTTTCATCGGTCTGAGAAAACTTTAAGCAGTTCAGAAATTCAATTACCTAGACTATAGCATATTCTCTAATGCAAAAGAGATAAACAACACTATGACTATAACAAAAAGAATAGTAATGCATACAATTGTATCTGAAGCAACAAAAACGCCAGGAAAAGATATTTAAAAAGGTCTACGAAGCCATCATGCTGATTCCATTTCTTTATGGATTCGAATCCGAGATTATATGACAGTGCAATCTACGAACATATTTCTCAGAACATCTATTTCGAAATCATTCTCAGTGTGCAGTATAGTGAATAAAGACAACCAATGCTACAAGCATTGTAGCAATACTGTGAAAGGCCCATCTTCACTTAACAGTCCAGTTGTTCTTTTTGTTCGGCGAAATGTTCTCTGGATGGCGAAGTGGAGTGGTACCAAAAAATAGAAAAAAGAACTCTGATGTCTAGTATATTCGACTACCGCTATTAAATAACTAAGACTGATGACAGCAAAACATAAAGATACAATGTCTTCCAGGTAACAAGTTAGCAGTCCGAATTATCAGAGCTGAAGAATAGCAGTAACAATCTAAAAATGAAACAACTTCCAGTTACCAAACCTCCTCCAGCAGCATATGTCGGAAGTATTTGCCTCTTTAGTGTGGATGTTGTTGAACTGCAAACTTGCACTAGACTTGGAACCCCATCCAAAATATACGCCATGATATATATATATATATATATATATATATATATGTGTGTGTGTGTGGGGGGGGTGTGGACATTGAGGTCAACACCCAGCGGTGATAGTATGAATTGAACGTATGTATTCGTGCCATGTTGAAAGATGCTGGAAGAATGGTCGGTTCCATTTCTCGCTACAGATATTACCTAACTGCTGCTGCTATGTCATTACAAATGTCAGATCAGACAAAAATGGAGTATTGCTGTAATATTTCAATATTCAGCCTCAACAATGTTCAAAAGTGCTTAAGTGACCATGTAGGTGATTAATTGTTCTCCACATTGCAACCCTTATCCTACAGATGAAATGTTGCTGGCCTCTTACTACCCTATCACTATTACTATGGCAGATGTTCTAAAAAGTCTGTTCTTCTTTCGTCTCACCAAGTCAGACCTTCACAACTAGGGCCCGCTATGCCATGTTTACGGTGGCAAATCATTCCCATTCCCGTCGTATTCCCTTGGTAAGTATTAAGTTCCACTCAGACAGCTTCTTCCCCAGAACTTTTATTTTCTGAAAAATACTCTCGAGAATATGCTTCCCTGACCACTACAATCGTAACCTTTGCAAGTTCAGAGCCATCCGATATATATCCTACATATACCCGTAATATGAAATTCCTGTTTCCACCTCCCCCGCTTCCTTACAAAAATCTCACTCAGTAACTTTCTATTTTGAGTTCTCCTTGTATTGGGTGAAATAAAGTAAATATATATGTGGGGGTTAATTCTCGTGGTATCTAAATAAATTTATTATTCTACAAACCGCAAAAACATTCCTTCCAATAAGATATGTGTGTGTGTGTGTGTGTGTGTGTGTGTGTGTGTGTGTGTGTGTGTGTGTGTGTGTGTGTGTGTGTGTGTGTGTGTGTGTGATGAATAAGAGATGAATAACATTAGATCACGAAGAAAATGGAAAAAATGTCTAAGATTTTCTTCTTCGGAAAAAAAAATAGTGACTTGCTGAACTAGATTAGGGTAGTTGAACGAAACAGATAGAGCATCGCTGCACCAAAAAGAATCTAGAAATGGGAAATCAGAATGATCATTTCTATTGATTGTCATAATCCTAAAAGCCTGTTCGGAGGAATTAAGTACAAGGAAAAGACTATCTAACCCAAGCGACCAGTCACTCTATAATTAGCTGGGTAGACAGAAGCACACCTCCTCAAGTTATGTAAAATGCGATGTGGCCACCAGACACCGGGTTTCTTTTTTCTCCTTTTCAAACTGTGTGTGTCATTTATGCAGCTCCCCGACGCGTCTGAGTAAACTAAAGGGTTCCGATTTTTTTCTCTCGACAAAATAAACATTCGACATCTGCCTGTTTCATATTTGTCTTCTTTCTGTCTCGGAAACAATTAATGCGCAAGAAACAATGAAAAAAATATAATACAGAATACTTTTACAATATATCAGATCCCATGAAAATGTAGCATATATATATATATATATATATATATATATATATATAGTGTGTGTGTGTGTGTGTGTGTGTGAGTATGTATGTAATTAGTCAGAAAGCGTTTCTTCAAGCATGTCTTATTAAAGAGTATAGGCATTTTGTGCCTATTTGTCTATCTTCCTCCCCATATTGCGAATGATCCTTCACAAAAACGGTATTGTTGATGTACGAAATTTCCAAAACTTATAATTTCGATTCCCGTGAATCATTTTCAGGGGTGTGTAATTGGCCCATTATGTAAAAAACGGTAAAAAAAAACTGAAGTAGAGCATTTAGTGCAAGGTTATATTTAAATTTAATAAAACAAATCCAAAACGCAGTAAGTCCCATCCGCCACATGTCACGAAGTTTGAGAGCAGAACGTGTGTGATGGCGTTTTTTTTGTTTGTTTTTTACTTTACACACACACACACACACACACACACACACACTGTTTTCGAGAAAGATTGGATATGATATTGTTTGTTATTTAGAGAGACGCAATTTTGGATTGGACAAACAACATTAGTTTTTTATAGGGGTTTGGCGAGTTGATGTTGTCATTTTTAGAATTAGATTGATTTTCACGGAAAAATAACAACCAAAAATCATGAAAATTATTTGACAAAAGTTAAAGCAAAATATTTTGTATTCTGAAAGTATACACTTTTAATGGAATTCATAGAGAAAAGTGTGTGGATGTGATGATAACGTCAAAGTTAACCTAAAGAAACAGAGAAAGAAGTGAATGGATTAATAGTTAATTTATTTGCAATCCTGATGTCTCTGGACAAAGACGTTTTGAGAAATCCGATTATCTTGTCTTTTTTATTTTCATTAAGTCAAAGAATGGCATGAAGTTGAGTAAGATAACAACAGGAATGTGAATGGTTTCTTGAAATTTGTCCCTGTCACCGGCATTGTCACTCAAATCATCCCTAAATAAATAGGCAAAAGGCAGAATGGCGAAATGGGTGAAATAAGAACATCTCAACTAAATAAATTAAACTGATTGCATCAGTTTAATTTATTTAGTCGGGAATGTCTTCTTAAATTAGAATATTAGCACATGTCTATTTAACTGAACAAACCAGATAAAGCTAGGTATTTTTAGTATTTTTAATAACAAAAACCACTAAAGTTATTTTACTTTTACGGCTATGTTTACTCGGAAACTTAAATTTTAATGTACTAATATATTATTGCGAGCATAGAATAAAAAATATCTTAGCTCTTGCAAGGAGTTAAAAGTCTCTCACTATAAACTCGAAGAAGTAAATTATAAGATGATAGTGGTTTTACAGTAAAATACACGAAAAAATTGACGTCGCGTGTTCACATTCAGAGACCATGGCTTTGCGTCTTCTTTTTGGCAGATACTCAAGTGATTAAATAAATACGTCGATTCAATGTTTAAAAGATCCAAAGGGGTAGTGCCGAAGAGGCTAGGACAGTTTTTGTCCCTGGTCCATGTACGCATGAGCTCTTGCTTTAAACTCGACCTTGTGTCACATGAGTAAGCATGCGGATAAAGTATTTTGTCGTTGAAAAATGACTTTTTTTTTATTCTAGTGATTGTCTCTGTAGTCGGTATACAGGCTTTTCAGTGGAGATCGTAGTTTCTACTGATGAATGTTATCAAGTTGCTTCAGGTACCACGAAATACCTCTGACACTAAGATGGCATAAAGCCCTACAATACGATACCAAAGTACATTCCTGTCAGAATAAACATTCAGCCAACCAACCACAATATAAAGATCTATTGAAAAAAATCATCCATCAAACCACTCGTCCTTTACATGGAAAACATTATTAATGAATCACGAATAGACACTAACCTGACCCTTGAATCAATTAATCTAAATCCACTTTGGCTAACAAAACAACCAACAATCTTACTAAACCTTGACAAATACCCTAAAATTAATATCAGTTCATCTACCTTTTTAGAGAAATTTGATAATGTTTTACAGAAGCACCCAAACAATAAGTACATATATACTAATGGCTCAAAAAACATTGATAAAGTAGGGTGTTCAAGTGTTATTGAGAAAGTAATATTCAAGACAACGATTTCCTGACAAATCCTGTATTTTTAATGTTGAAGCTATAGTCATAGATTTAGATTTAGACATCATGACAAGCAATGAACCAGGCAACTTCATAGTTTTCTCGAATTCACTGTCCACACTTACATCACGGAGAAATAAAAACAGAAACAACCTATTAATAGTTACATTACTAAACTGGATCAATCTCATCTGCAAGGAAAAAAAATTCTTCTGTTGGGTACTTAGCCATATCAGCATCCGCTAAAATGAAAAAGCTGACCTGGCAGTAAAAAAAAAATCTCTAAAAATGAATATTTCCAATTTGAAAATTCCCTATACAGACTTCAAAGCAACTATAAGTTCTAAATAAGCGGTCACAGTTATGAAATTAATGCCCAAACATCAAACTTTACAAAATTAAACCCGTTTTAGAATGTTATCATGGTCTTTCTCTGAAAGATGAAGTCTTCCTGAGAAGTATCAAAATAGGACATGCCTATATCACTCACTCATTTCTCCTAAAAAAATGAACACCCTCTTGAATGCATAGAATATCATGAGACATATATCATAAAACTTTCTAACTGATTGTAGAGACCTTATATTAACATGACTAGTCTAGAGGATTATCCTAACCTACTTGAAAGAGGTTGGTCTACACCACAAGTTATAGCACTAAATAGTGATTTTCCAAGCGTAGCTTAGATGTGGCACAAGGCCGAAATTAGGGGGCACCCAGTGAGGATCGAACTCACTACTCAGTCGTAATTGTTCTAGCGAGCCAAGCTTGCTAACCATTACACCGCCTCGAGGTGCCCCAAGTTATAGCACTAAATAAACCCGCTCTGGAGGTATCATTGGTGAGTGATGGAACCAACGACCCAAAAGATTGTTTACTTTATAAAATCTAATGCTATACACACACACACACACACACACACAGATATATATATATATATATATATATATATATATATATATATATATATATATATATATATATATATATATATATATGGTTATTCAAAAAGAATGAAGCGATTTCATTACGCAAAATTTTAATAAGGAAAAGCAATAGAAAACTCCAGCCAAGTCACAAGTATTCTACTCACAATTAACTTTTAT